CACTTTTGTTTAAAACTTTCATCACTTGACAACCTGATTATAAATTTTTTGAAGTGCTTCCTAAAACAAAAACCTTTTAAAGTAGTGAGTTTGTAAATATATTAAAAATCATTAACTATATTTTTAAAGCTATAAGTTAATAGTTTAACATCGAGATCACTATGATCTTCTTTTATAAATTTCTTCACAATTTGTTTTACATATCAGTATTTCTCAAAACCTTATCTGCACATAAACAGTGTTTGTAGATACTAGGTTTGACTGGCAATTGACGTTTTTTAATTAAATAAGTAATCTGGGCAACTGGTAATATTTTTTTAAAAAAGTATATTTGATCTTAAAGCCTGCGAGCCTGTTTCAGTGTATGACCAGTCTTTATAACTGGTTTAGAAAAAGGTTCTGTAATGCCTTGTTTACAAACTCACAAATAACCTGTTTATAACACATTAATAAACCTTTTATAAAAGATAAAACTGCAGGTCATCCCCCACAGTTTTCTTTTGTTAGTTTTTGAAGCTTTGATTTAACAGTGACAGAATCACGTTATTATATTTTTATCTTGTTTTATACAATAAGCTAACAGAAAACATAAAATTAGCATTAAACCCATCGCAGATTATCTTATCTATTTTTGCTTTGACAATTAAAACCATAAATGCTTCTGGGAGCTAAAGAACATCCAGGAATGATAAGTTGCCTCTGGACTAACAATGGTTGTTTGGGGGGCGGGGGGGAGGGGGTGTTGGCCTTGATTACAGTCGTCGACTTTAGTCCTGTTGACAACTGTGGGCCTTCAAATAGTTCAGACAGGCCACCCCGCGCCTGCAAGAAAATCCCTTAATATCTTTTATTCCATCCGAGCGTGGCTGAGCGACAATCGGACAGATTTTTTCCACCGTGCTGTAATCTCACGCAGACAGCGGCCGGACTTTGTGTGATAGAAAAGATTATCTGAGCTCGTTAAAAGTCATCAGCCCCCTGCAGTGTGGCTTATATATTTATCCAGGAACCATTTATCTGGGCTGAGCTCTTATTTTGAAGGTCTGATCTTTGCTCAGCTGGGGGATCAAATAAACTAAATAAAATCTGCATTAATTTTAACTGATCAAAAACTTTTAACACAAATGCACTGTCTTTGTGAGCAACTTTGCCCTTTTGTTGTGCACAGTGTATGCAGCTGTTTTTGCGTGTGTGTTTGTGTGTGCATAAGGAGGAGTTGTGGGTTGAAGGACTGAGTGACTTTTGTCCTGACAGCACACACAGCTAACAGATTAGTGAGGGTTTTAATAAAGCCTGAGGGCAGCAGGATAGTACAGTGGAGCTGAAGGACAGCAGCAGTTATTGTGAGCACACCTTGGAGTTAAACATTGACAGAAACTCCCAATAATTACTGTGACCCTCAGTCAACTCCTTACATCAGCAGGGTGTTTTCCCCATCAGCAGCAAAAACCAGAAGGCCTGGCTGTCATAAAACTATTTAATAAATAAGAATCAAAGTTAAGTCATATAATCTTTGGATTAACTGCAATTCACAACAAGACTGGGATATTAGTGGATTTAATTAAAATAATTWTGTCTTCTGTTTTCACTTAACTGAATTGAATTAAGGTAACAAACTTTAAATTTACTTAAAGTCAGTGTATAGTACACGTGTTACATTTATTCAATTCAGTTGAGTGGAAACAGTAATATATATATA